CCCAGCTTGGTAGGATTTCATCCGGTATTTCATGTTTCGAAGCTCCGGAGATATCACGGGGACCCGTCGTACGTGTTGGATTTCAGCTCAGTCCAGTTGGACAAGGATTTATCTTAGGTTGAGGAGCCTGTGGCTATATTGGACAGACAGGCCAGAAAGTTGGGATCAAAGAACATTGCTTCAGTAAAGGTTCAGTGGCGGGGTCAGCCGGCCGAGGAGGCGACTTGGGAGACCGAGCGGGATATGCGCAGCCGATACCCTCATCTTTTCACTACTTCAGGTATGCTCTTTATGCTCGTTCGAGGACGAACGAATGTTTAAGGAGTTCCGGTCCAACGCAAATAACCAACAGTAGTTCATACAGTGTACAACCAATAAATAAAATAAAATAGCTCAGAAATAGAGTGCTCATCCTTTTCATAGTTTTCCGAAAAACAGTTCCACTTTTCTAGTATACCAATGAAAGTCCAAATCCTCTACCGAAATCGTTAAAATATGAGTAAGTTTTGAAAACTGAAACTTTTTCCTGAAAATCCTTTCCACGATAGGTAAATATGTTTCATTTTCTTTTTCAATAGCAAGTGTGAAATACCTCTCTATAACCACATATCAATGTATGTAAAAAGTCATGAATGACGTGAGACCGTACAACATGAGGAAAAATACGTCTCTATGCATGTATGTGATATATGCATGCCAATGCCATGTACCTCAGAGATGAATCATGTACTCACACTCTCAGAGTACTCAACCTCACTGTATCACACCTTTCACTCATCATCATCAACCACTCGGTACTGTATATGGCCCATCGGCCCAGGGAAGATCCCGATCCCGGAATATATGCATAACTGACTATAAGTCACCTAGTACCGAGGAACAGGCCAATCCAGCCTCATGGAGAAGATCCATCTCCATACCGGGGGAAGATCCATCCCTGAAGATAATCAACTGCGCTCACTGGGGGTGTGCAGACTCCGGAGGGGCTCCTACAGCCCAAGCGCTATAATTCGCACGGATAACTCACGTGCTGCACGGAATACTCACATGCCATAACATCAATATCAGAATCCGCACGGACAACTCACATGCTATAACATCAATATCAGAATCCGCACGGACAACTCACGTGCTATAGTATCAACATCTCACAATCAAGCCCTTGGCCTCACTCAGTCATCACTCTCCAGTCTCACCCACGGGCTCACAATGTCATGAAAACTGACCCGGAACAATGATATGATGTATCATTAAGTAACAACATAGACTTAGATATGATATGAATGCATGAATGCGACTGAGTACGAAATATCAATGAAATCAATGAGATGACAGCAAGAAACGACCACTATGGGTCCCAAAAATATTA